GTGTGTGTGTGTGTTTGTGTGTGAGAGAGTGTGAACGTCTGTGTGTGAAAGAGAGTGTGCGGGTGTCTGTGTGTGTGTGTGAGTCTGCGTCTGTGTCTGAATCTGTGTGTGTTTGTGTCTGTGTGAGAGAGAGAGACTTTGTGTGTATGTGTGTCTGTCTGTATGTGTGTGAGTCTGCATGTGTATCTATATGAGTGTGAGTGTCTGTGTGTGTGTGTGAGAGAGAGAGACTTTGAGTGTGTCTATGTGTGTGAGAGGGAGAGAGTGTGTGTGAGTCTGTGTGTGTGTATCTGTGTGTGTGTGAGTGAGACGGAGAGAGTGTGTGTGTGTGAGAGAGAGAGAGAGAAGGTGTGTATGTCTGTGTGTGTGAGACAGTGTGTGTGAGAGAGATTGTGTGTGTCTGTGCGTGTGAAAGAGAGTGTGTGTGTGTGTGTGTGTGAGAGAGAGAAAAGTTGTGTGTCAGTGGGTGAGAGAGACACCCTGTGTTTGTGTGTAGGGGTGTGGGGGGTGCTAGGCACTGACAGAGAGAGAGAGGAGGCAGAGAGAGGTAGAAGGAGGGGGAAATAGAGAGTTGGAGGAGAGAGGCAGAAAAGGGAGGGAGGCAGAAGAATGATAGAGAGTGATGGAGATGGGGGCTAAGACAGAGGGGGAGAGAGAGCAGTAGATTTAGGCTGGCGGAGAGAGGGAGAGGCAGCAACAGAGAGTGAGGGAGAAGAGGCAGAAAAGGGATAGACAGAAAGAGAGAGGTGTGGAGGAGTAGGGAGAGATACAGGAGTAGGCCGAGAGAGAGAAAGGGTGAGGAGGGAGCGGAGGAGAGAGGGAGACAGACAGAAATAAAGATAAGAGATGGGTAGAGAGATGTAGAGGAAGGAGACATTGAGAGAGAGAGAGAGAGGTAAAAGGCAGAGGGGCTGGCAGGGGGTGGGCACAGGGGGAATCTGTGTCGGAGATGGGTCCGGGTCAGTGATGTGGCTGGAATACTGGAATCACGGCCTGCGGAAGGGCAGAGGGAGGGGGTTTGCTCGGATGATGTGGGCCAGCAGTTGGAGGGTGTCAGGGCCAGACCTCAAAGAGCAGGAGTGGGCCATTTGGCCCAGCGAGTATCCTCTGCCCTTCAATGTCCAATCTGCTCACACACAACTCCCACTTGCGTGCCTTTTCCCTCAATACTCTTCCTGATCAAAACTCTACCTCAATCTCGGATATACTCAATGACCCAGCCCTCTGTGGTGAAGAATTCCACAGATTCGCTCCCCCTCGGACAGAAATTTCTCCGCATCCCTGCCCTCAGTGGCCGACCCCTTATCCTGAGATGATACCCCTCTGGTCCTAGACTCTCCCCCACACAAGCGGGGGTAACCCCCTCCCCGCATCTCGCCTCTCAATTACCCCCTGAGAATCTTCAATAAGGTCGCCTCTCAATCTTCCAAACTCCAGGCCCCAACCTCCTCAACCTCTCCCTCGGAAGTCAGTCCCTCCATCCCTGGAATGGAGTGATCCTTCCCTGGGCTGCCTCCGATCCCAAACTATCGTTCCCTAGATAAGGAGACCCAAGACTGTTCCACAGAATTCCAGCTGTGTTCTGACTAGCGCCTTGTACTGTTTTAACAAGGGCTTCCAACCTTTCAGAAACTCCATTTTCTTCGAAATAAAGGCCAACGTTGTATTGCCCTCTCTGCTGGACTTGGGATGCCGGATTTTTTTTTTTCGCGATTGATGGACGAGGACTCCCAGATCCCTCTGCCCCGTGGCTTTCCGAAGTCTTTCTCCAATTGTAGTAATATCCGTCCTTCCTGCCAAAGCTCACATCTCTCCATGTTCTATTCCGTCCCCTGATTCCCATCGCTTTTGCTGCTATACTTTTTGCTGCTAGGGATCCTGATCCTACACGTTCCTGATGAAGGTTGTAAACCCGAAACGCCAGCTTTCCTGCTCCTCTGATGCTGCGCGGCCTGCTGTGCTCCTTCAGCTCCACGCTGCGTTATCTCTGACTCCAACATCGGCATTCCTTGCTATCTCCTGACCTTATATTGACTGTATATTTTGTCACTCGTCCTGAATATTCCGTAAATAGGTTTGGGGCTTCGGTATGATCGATCTGCTCCTAAGACGTACCTGCAACTGTTTCCTGGTGTCCTCAGTTCTGGGCTGGAGCCCAGCAATGGGCCTCGAGAAAGTCTACTCGATTTTTCATCGAACGCCTTCTCAAACACAGAGACCCACTTCAGATAAAACATCACAAAAGGACAAACTGTTGATGACTTGGCAGACCAGAGTTACCTCC